TGTGTGTACACATGCGTGCATGTATGTGCATGTGCACCTGTGTGTGTATTTATCTAGAGTGATCTTTTGCTGCCTATTTCTACTCCTGAGTAGAGTGGGCAGAGGTGGTAAGAGAGTATACGTATGCTCGAGTATGTGTGCAAGTGTACATATGTGTGCACATGCACCTGTGTGTGTATTCATCTAGAGCGATCTGTTATTGCCTATTCTGCTCCTGGGCAGAGGTGGTAAGAGAAGAGGCAGCTGCAAAAGCAGACTAGCAGCTAGCTCAGCAGCAGAGCAACTGGGGGCAGGCACTGCAGGGAGCGGAGGCAGCTGAGACAGAAGAGGAAGGCAGGGGAGGCTGAGACAATGCAGAGTCAGGCTGTGGAAATCAGAAGGCTGTGAAGACTCAAAGATAAGAGGCCATTGCAAAAGTTCGACACCACCCAGCCTTTAACAAATGCCAGCAAACCTTGATGCCAGCTGCTGCTATGAGCTAAGGGTCCCAACATCCAGAGCTTAAGAGATGTGACCTGACCCACTGAATCCTGCTGCTATTAGCCATACATGAGAGTGGCACCACTGTCTGGGCCCAGCACAGTAAGCCTCTCAACCTGAGCCTCTGAAGCTTGAGACTATATGCCCAGCCATGGGGACCCAGATCCGGGACTCAGAGCTATACGCCTCTGGATCCAGCCAACATTTGGGACAAAGATCCAGAACTGCCACTACCACCATTTTCTTACTTACAATTTAATCCAACAGGAGCAAAGGAACCCAGACTGCACATCAGTAGCAGAAGGGAAAGGCCCACTTACCCCTATAAACATTTTTTGTAATTTCTTATGAACCTATGATTCTTTCCAAACATAAGGTTAAAGACAAAAAGGAAAGAGTTTCTAGATCCCGTTCTGTAGCTTCACTGAGGTGGTGGGGACTGGTGCTTACACTCACTGTCAAATCCACCTTTCTGACCTTAATACAGTCTTCCCAGAGCCACTTCAGGAATCTAATTACGACTAAATGTTCCTCTCAGCTCCCTTCTAACCGTTCACAATCCAGATCACTGTAAGCCTTCTCCAGAGACAGCTGGTCAGAACAAGTATGGTAGCAGCTTGCACAGTTTCTCCCTGTCTCCCACACACAGAGCTCTCTACCCCAAGCTGTTAGAATACCAAGTTGGAACGAAGGCCAGGAGGAAACGCTTTGTTGACAAGCCAGTTATCTCCTCAGGACTTCTGGTCTGCAGTAAAGCCCAGGGCATGCACACCCAAGTTCACAGACAAAGAACCACAAGCCAATGTTTTCTTCCACCACATCCAAAGCATCTTCTTATTATATAAAGAACCAGGCCACCAACCACCCCTACCACACCGCCACCACCACATTCCTGATATCACCATACCACCACCACCACACGGCCAGAACTGTACAAAGTGAATAAAATCAACAGAAAACCTTCTTGTGTTATAACACTGGGATAATTTCTCATCCATCTAAATTTTCCCACCCCCTGGAAAAAGTCTGATGGGACTGGTTTGAGTCAAACAAACAGATTCATATTGTCAAACAAACCACTATTCAGCTTCTTTAGAGTCTGAGTAGATGGTGGACATCACTGAGCAAGAAGAGGTTCTGCACCTAGAAGTGGAGTTGAGTCAGGAGCTCGGAGCATGAAGGTCAGACATGTGTACTCCTGCCCTGGTCCATCCTACCCTGGGCTCCACATACTGCTGGTACCGTTCCCCACAGAGAAAGAAAATCTTAAAGTTTTAAAAAGAAGAACCCTCAAATTCCTGCAGCTGTGCACTTAGCACCTTCAGTGGGTGCTGTAAAGACACATGAGTAGAAATTCAGGAGGAACAACCTGAAGGGCCTCTCCCAATACACCCAACCGCCAGGAAAGAAAGAAGTAGAAACCAGTTTTCACTGCCTCCTAAACATGCTTGTGCAAGAGAGGAAAGGAGAGAGAATTCATTGTTATTTGTCTTAAATATGATGCAGCCAGACTCTGTCTGATCACTAGGCAGCTGGGTATGGTGGCAGAGACACAGGAGACAGAGAGAGAGCCATCCCAGACTGTCTCCTTTTTTTTTTTTTAGAAAGAGACGTGTGTTGGCAGAACATTTTCAAGTAAAACTCAGACTTCTGTTCCCAGCGGTAATTGGGTAACAGTAAGACAGCCAGGTCTGCAGCTGCATAGAGATGAAAGAAGCAGGTGAGAGATGCTGGTCTTTTGGAGAAAGACAAGAGAGTCCGGGGCTGAGCCTGTGGGAGGACACACCTCCATCTTTAACACAGACCCAGACTACTGAAACATCCTGACCCTAAGTTGATAAGTTCTCATTTCAAAGGTGACTCATAGAACATTGTCTCCAGAAAGAACCTCACTCTGAAATGTGAGCCAATCATAAACAAAGGGCCCAGCTGGCACTTGAATGGGCCAGTGCCTCAAATAGGACATAGCCTTTAGTCAAAATATCAAAGGACTTTAAAGCACGCAGCTCACCTTGAAGTGGCTGTGGATATGACCTGAGTCCCAGATGGAGACGGGTGTCAGAGACTGGGCTCCTGCAGCCGCAGGAGGACAAATCCACCCTGAAAGCTCAGCACAGGCCTCTCTCCACACCCTCAAACATCAGCCATAGAGAAGGAAAATGGAGGCCTATCTCCATTGCTGAAAGGGACAATAATGGTCCACAGGCTTCTGAAAGTATTCACTGCACACAGAGAGGCAGGGGAGGGGCAGAGAGAGAGAGACAGACAGAGAACAGAGCGAATTTCTGCAATGCAAACTTTGGCCTTAGGGGACAAAGTGGGTAGGAAGATGAAGGAGCAAACCAGGGCTATGGGTATGAGTCAGGGCACTGCCTGCAGCTCTCCCATCTCTCCATCCCATCACTGGGAATAAAGGCAGGAGGCCCCAGTGCCTCAGGGAGCCGCAGCCAGCTTTCAGCGTTACTCTTAAAACACAGAAAAGTAAACTGAGTCCATGGCCTCAGAGGAAAGAACTTGTCATTCTGCTCAGCCTGCCCTTCGGTTCTCGAGAGGTTTTGTTTTACAAGTGTTGTGGAATTTACATCCTAATCTGTTTTTCTTGCTCTTGTCTTAAGAGCTCATCTGGTTTACCTAGCCTGGGTTGGCCTTGAATTCTCCATCCTCCTGCTTCAACCTCTTGAGACACAGGGTGACAAACGTGCACCTTGAGACTGGAAAGATGGCTGTACATTTAGGAGCACCTGCTGCTCTTCCCAGCACCCAGCTCAGGTGGCTCACAACCTTCGTCTCCAGCTCCAGTGGATCTGACACCTTTAGCCACAGGCACCGGGGGTCATAGACACTCACAAGCAGACACATACCCACACCTCTTTAAAAAATAATAAAAACATTTAAATGTGCCTTCGTGGCAAGTGTGACCCTCAATAGTGTTGACCACACTCCATTATTGTACAACCACTGGCACACTCCATAGCCAGGGCTCTTTTTGTTTTGCAAAACTGAAATTCCAATCCACTGAAGAACATACACCTCACACACACCGGCAACACTCAGACCCCATACACCAAGCACTCATACACAGCGCACACCAAAACTCACATACACCCTACCACTCATAACATACACACCCCAATTCATGAGGACCCCTCAGCTCTCCAATGCCTGACATTCACACCACTCAACTCTCACACCTCAACATGCTCACACACAACGTCATGTGTGCCTGATACCCCAACTCTCTCAGTACCCCAACTCCTGTGTTTTAACTCTCACACACTCCGGCTCCCATAATCCCACAGCCACATGCCAACATGCCAGCTCACACATACCCCATGAGGCTCTGCCAGTCAAGCTCCTACCGTGTCTGAGGACTCCTCTACAGAGCAGCTTCTCTGCCTCACACAAGAACTCACAGCCATTCCCCAGTCTCCAGACACGACCTATGGGATGCCATCATCCCATTCCTGTTCCCTGCTCCTCTATGCTCTTGAAAATAAAATGCTTCCTGACTCTGCCATGCAAGCAAGGGAAACTCTAAGCCTTCTGAACACAGAGTCTTTTCTTCCCTTAGACATGGGAAATAGGGTGAGGGTGACCCAAAACGTATCCTACATCATAAAATGTATTGCTTGCTCTAAATCCCGCTTTTAGGGAGTCCGATTTTTACTACATCATGTTCACTTTGTGTTCAAAAGGAAGAATCCATTTAAAACATATTTACGCATCCTCCTCAGATCATCCTGTCATGACACAAGTTCTTGAATAAGGAGGACAGAGAATATGGAGGGAGGAAAGTGTGTCTACAGGATGCCTGCAGAGTAGAGGAAGCCATCTGCAGAGATGGTGTTCTTCGGATAGCTGAAAGACAGAGAACAGAAAGATGAAGGGAAAGAACAAGGGTCCTACTAGGTGCCCAGCTGCACCTTGAATCAGCCAGGACAGTCTCAAGGTAGGGAGACCCTAGAAAAACCTGGTGTTGGTGACTCCAGTGGACATTGCTTCCTGGCTATCCTCAAAGTGAAGAGTGGGGAGGACACCTGCAGGCAGAAGATGCTGAGACTCAGCTTCCTCTGACTCCAGGGGCTTCTGGTGTAACTACTTTCTCTATTCATTGACCATATGGGAGGACCACAGCAAGGAGGACTACTACAGGTGCAGGGTAGCCAGAGGGACAGGTTCACCATGATCCCCTGGCCTGAGTGCATACAGTAAGCACAGGAGGAAATTAGCCCCAGGTCAGATAAGAAAAGTCCTTAGGCCCAGGACATACACACGTAGACTAGTTTCACCAACCCTGTGAGTTGTTATAGACCACACACACAGGGGCACACACACAAAAAAAAAAAATAGACCAGCCTTCAGAGACCAGCATGCTTCTCAGAAGCCTATGAGGAAGGAAATCTGCAGACCAATCAAATCAGGCTTCTCATGGAGAAAGCCAATCTATGACGACTCAATAGATCGTACCTCCACCACCAAACATGGCTTCTGCTGTGGCAAGCCTGCAGTTCTGCATCGGCGTGGGCAATTGCAACTCCACTGTCTTCCAGTTCTGCTTCCAGCTTGTGTGAACTTGAGGCTGTAGACTGAAAGCCACATACCATAAACCAAAGTTTACCTCCGTGGTGCGTGAGGCTGTTAGCTTGCCTCTTGCAGGAAAGGTTGTTATCAACTTTCTCTAGCAGCAAAGAGGGGCAGGGAGCTGGGCTAAGGAGACTTCTCAATAAGTAACGTGCTTGCCACACAAGGATAAAGACTTAAGTTTATCTCACAGATAAAAATCCAGAAGTGATGATGTGCACTCGTAATCCCAGAACTGGGGAGGCTGTGACAGCAAGACCCCTGGGACTCACCAGACAGCTGGATTAGCCAAAGATGAGTTCTGGACCTACGAGAGATAGTCATAAAAATAAGATGTACAATACCTGACAACACCCAAATTTGATCTCTAGCCTGTACAGGTACTTGTGCACACACACAAGCACCCATGCATACATACCACACACTCAAGCACCCATGCATACACATCACACACACACACAAGCACCCGTGCATACACATCACACACACACACAAGCACCTGTGCATACATACACACACACAAGCACCTGTGAATATATACCACACACACAAGCACCCATGCATACACATCACACACACACACAAGCACCTGTGCATACACACCATATACACACACACACAAATCAAATTCCTTGTAAGCACCCATGCATACACCATACACACAAGCACCTGTGCATACACACCGCACATACACACACACACACCCATGCATACACACCACACACACAAGCACCCGTGCATACACACCACCATACACACACACACAGGCACCATACGTGCACACACATATACACAACCACAGAATACTGACAAGTGGCAAGCATACTGCTCTCCTCTTCCCACCATCGCTCTGCAGCAACCAAGACCAGGGAAGTGTCATTAAGGTTCACAAAGAACAGGTGTCAGCACCAAGGGTTTGTGGTAAGGCAGGATGAGGTCTTCCTGGTGGTGCTGTTCTGCTGGGCTACTGCCTCCAAATGTGGCTGTGGTTTGGTCCTCAAACAAAGAGAAGTGAATACTCTTCCTCCCAGGGCTCGTTTGCCTGCCTGCAGCAGCCTGTGAGCACCCAAAGTAGAAAAAACCGTCACAGCACAGCCGCCTCAACCTCAGAGCCCCAGCTACCAGAAGACAACACTGGAGCTGCCCAGCTGAAAGAACAACAAGGAATTTGATTAAAAGAGATACAGCCAGCCTCTCAACCACTGGCCTTTTTGAAGTGGGAAATGTCAGAATTAGGGATATGTGATCAGTAACTCAATCCACCTTAAAACCCACCACACACCACAAATGCCATCTTAACAATGCCAGCATCAAAAATTATGGTGTACTTATTTATAGTCTGATTCTGACTGTCCGATTCAGTAGTCAGCAGTCATGTGTATCAACTTACACTTAAATTTTAAGTCTTCCAAATGGTTCAAAGCTTAAAATTCAGCTGTTCGGTCATGCAAGGCATACGTCCTGGGTGCTGCCTCGTCGTATGTGGCTAGTAGGTGTCAAATTGGAAACAGAAGCGCTGTCATCAAAGACAGCTCCACTTGTAAGCCAGGATGGATGACTCCTGGATGTTTTTTCCTGGCCCTGGCCTTTGGCTATGAAATGTGTGGTCTCAGTTGTCAACTTGTCTGGATTTAGAAGTGTCTAAGAGTAGTGAAGTACAAGTGTTTCCACAGAAAACTAGCCTGAGGAACAGTGGTGAGGAAGGGAGAGACCTGCCTCAAATGTGAGCAGCATTATCCCATGGACTGAGGCCTAGAGGGAAGAGGAATGGCAGGAGGAAGCCAGTAGGTGGCTACATGTCCCTTGTGAGTATACACATGGCTGCTAGCCTTGTCCACTAAGGTCAGGCTGCAACATTGTCAGATTTCCAGTATGGAAACCAGCAGCAATGGATCACCCAGTTTTTTTGGCCCCCGATTGACTAGGACTCCTGCAGTGGCCTATTTATTTAACCAGATGACTAAAGGGTGCACGGATGTCCATGTTGAGGTTGTGTAAACCAAGCCAATAAATCCTATTGAAAGGAAAAAACACCTGCGCGGGCAGCGGCAGCGTCCCAGAGCAGCAGCACAGGGACATGGCATGGACCACAGCTGCGGGGGAGGGAGTCCCAAAACCGGAGACTTTTCCCACTGCAGAGTTTTCCCACATACATGAGAAAGTCCCAGGTTTCCAGGAGACATGTGGAATCCATGGAAGAAGTTTATTGATCATACTGTGAAAGTTGGATCTGGATGTGTGCCCCCACCCCAAAAGTCAGGAGGAGCTTTCTTAAATGGGGAGTGGGAAAGAAGAGGGGCTAGGGAGGAGAAAACTTAATTAGCTATGTCCCCCGGCCTTTAGATAATTCATTAATATGTAAATCTCGAGGCAGAGGCCTGTTAGTCACGCCATCTATCTGTCACGCCCTCTACCTGTGTCTTACGTGACTTATGGTACAGGTTAAATGGAGATGAGACGAGTGTTAGGGCACTGGGTTCTGGGAGCGTGGCCAAACACCTGCAGTCTCAGGGTTCCAGGCTCATGTCAACCCAGGATGCCCTTCTACAGCCTGACATCCTATTATATAATATATTATATATCGTGCTGTATTTACACGTGTGTTCATTGATTCTATGTCCCTAAGCTATCTGTAGCTAGCCAGTGGATACATGACTGTGCTTTCCCATCTGTGGGATTACATCCACAAGTCGGATTGACTCAGAACTGAAAACATTCCCATAATTTGGATCTAGAGTATGTACTGACAGGTTGTTTTCTTGTCATTATTTCCAAAACACATGTTCTAGTTTCATTTCTGTTGCTATGATAAAATATCCTGAGGGAAAGCAACTTAAGAGAGAGTGAGGTTGCTTGACTTACAATTCCATATTACAGTCTATCTCTGAAGGGAAGTGAGGCAGGGCTCAGCTACTCACATTACATCCAAAGTCAAGTGCAAAGAGAGAGAAAGAGAAATGTCTGCAGGCCTACCTCCTTGCTTGATCTCAACAAACCTTCCCCTCTCTGGAACTGTTTAGGACCCTCTGCTTAGGGAATGGTGCCACCCACAATGGGCACCACTGTGCATCTTCCTACATCAATTAACAAAGACAATCCTCCACTGACAGGCCCATAGGCCAACCTGACCAAATCATTCTTCAATAAGACTTTCTCCCCAGGTGATTCTAGGTTGTGTCCAGTCAATGCTTAAAATTAACAATGCAATGTAACAACTGTTTGCATTGAATTGACATTGAATTGAGTCCTACAAAAGGTATACAAAAGGTAGCTTATTTGCAAAAACTATGTCGTCTTATATAAAAGTCTGGAAAGTCAACAGATTTTGGTAACCATTGGTGTGTCTTGGCACCAATACTTCTCAAATATAGAGAAATGAATGAGCTAAGAAAAGGAGAGAACATACATCTGTGGTGGAACATTCCTGCAACACCAGTGCTGGGGGGCAGGGGGGTGGCACTAAGAAGAAAATCATGAGTTTGAAGCGACTCTAGGCTCTATAGCAAGACTCCACCACAGCAGAGGGAAAGAGGGGAGTAAAGCAGAAAGCTCTGAAGAGACTCCAGAGCTTACGTTTCATTGCATGGCTCTCTGAGAGTTTTCCATAGGTTTGCACAAACAATAAACACCTGGCTGATCTGTTATGAGACTCTGGGACCACGTTAATCAGTGCAGTTGTTCCACAAGGGGTGGGTGGCAGCGTGATTGGAATTATCACAGCACTGAATTGAATGACAGCAACCCTTCCAACAGAAGCTGTCTGGTGGCCTTGAGCTCGTACTGGTCATCCGTTTTCCCCATTACTGGTGGGATCTCCTTAGACGGCACTGAAAGGCAACAAGCAAACATTCCATGCCCTCTTCAAGCATACCTAAGATATATTGATTTGTTGGCCCTTTCCTCTCTATAAATGCTCATAACTGTTACGATTTGGATCTCAAATGCTCCACCCCTTAAAGGCAGTGTCTAAAACCTTTGTCCACAGTTGTTAGTTCTACAGGAGGGTGTGGGGACATTGGGAGGTAGGGCCTACTTAGAGGAAGCAGGTTACTATGGACATGACATAGAAGTGTATGTTGGGACACAAACTCCTTTCTCATTGTTTCTTGGTCACAGTAAAGGGAACCCCTTAGCTCTGCATTACTGTTTTGCCTCACCAAGGGCACAGAAAGAACAGTCACATGACCATGGACTGAGACAAATAAACCTTTCCTCCTTTTAAGTGTCTGCTTCAGGTATTCTGTCACAGTGATCAAAAGCTGATTAAAAATCTGGTTTGAGGGAAGGGATTATGCTTCTTAACATAAGCATTTGTCCCAGCATCAGCCTAACTCTGGATTCTAGTTGTGGAAGCAGAGATTGTCTTAGTCAAGGTTCATCACATAAAAAAAATACTAGAAATTAATTTATGCTGCCTTAGTCTCAAAAAGGAACTTTGTAAGAAGATTACTGTTGTCCATGGTGGAACACATGGATGAGGAGACTGGAGAGTCTGGGACCTACCAGTTTCTCCACCCCTCATGTCTGTGTCTAATTGTCTGATTCTCCCAGATCTTCAGAACATTATCCTCTGCTTCTGTGTTCACAGAGCAAAAGAACAACATTCTCTCAGCATCTCTAAGAAACGTGAGGTCATTCACAAGCCCTGAGACCCAGCTCCAAGCTCACCTCCCAAAGGTCCCAACACCCATGAGAGTGGGTTGACCAGTTAACCACATTTGTATAAGATGTTCACAGCAGCCACAATGTATAAGAGACAGGCAGAGCCAGGTCTAGGGAAAGGAGCCATGCTGTGGATGGTGATATTAACCAAAGGGGTAGAGGCAAAATGTAAGCTTAAGAAACAAAAGGGCCGGGCTGGAGAGATGGCTCAGTGGTTAAGAGCACTGACTGCTCTTCCAGAGGTCCTGAGTTCAAATCCCAGCAACCACATGGTGGCTCACAACCATCTGTAATGAGATTCGATGCCCTCTTCTGGTGTGTCTGAAGACAGCTACAGTGTACTCATAAGTAAAATAAATAAATCTTTAAAAAAAAGAAACAAAAGGGCCATCTAGCATCTAACCCAGAATATAATTGTCTTCAAAATGAAAAGACACTGATGTTAATTTTCTGGATTGAGGAGATCCCTCAGATGGACCCAGCTGTCTGTTTCCAAACTCCATGGGCACCTGCGCAAGGCACGCTCATTCTAAGGCTGAGCCTCACACTACATTGTTCAGTGTTTTCTAAAGCAGAAAGGTCTAGCAGTCACTTTTCTCCCTGTATCCATGAGAGGCTGAGGTCCGCCTTATGCCTATATTCCTGGAGATGTACTGTTTCTCTACAATCGAAGGAAACCATGGTTATTTTCCACATTTTTAAGTTAGCGTTTCTGTAACCACCTTTATTTCTTCTGCAAGGAATGAACCTGGACAGGGCTTCAGGCATGCTAGACCAGCACTCTGCCGCTAATACATCAAGTCAAGTAGATTTTGTTATGAGTTGTTTCTTGGCCTGTTCTATTTTTCAAATATTAAATATTGACATTCTCTCTCTGAAGGAGATGGAAACAAAACAATAAAAGTCAAATTATCATCTTAATACTTTGTGCCACCCCCAAGGAAAACATGCTGACAGTGTGTACAGTTTATAAAAAGAGGGAGTATACCGTGCAGTTCTCAGGAGCCAGCCACATGCAGTTCTGAAGAGCACACTGCTGGGAAAGGGACACCAAAGCAACAGACACTGACCACAGCTGAGGGATCCAGACAGCCAAAAGAACAGAAAGTCTCATAGGAAAACCAACAGTGTACATTAACCTGGACCCCCGGGAGCTCCCAGAGACTGAGCCACCAACCAAAGAGCATACATGGGCTGGTCAGAGCACCCCCCCAAGCCCCCGCCCTAGTACACATGTAGCAGAAGACTACATTGTCTAGTCTCAGTGGGAAAGG